TCGTGATTTTGTTCTATAAAAGTCCCTAGAAAAGACAAGAGTCTTTGGCAAACCATTTGGCATCCTTTCTGTCTCTCTCAGACAGAAGCTTTCTTTTTCTCAATAAATATGTTCTGCTCTTAGCCTCCATTGTTCCTAAAATTCATTCTTTGATGTTAGAGAACATGACCTCATATTGGACATATGAGTTGGGAGTTTTGTTCCCCTATATCATTGTTATTTATTTATGTACTTATTTATTTTTGATACAAGACCTTAAAATGTAGTTCAGGCTGGCCTGGAACTCACAGGGATCCTCCTGCCTTAGCCATCTGAGTGTTGAGATTACAGGCATGCATCACCACACCAGGAATATACTTCCTTTTGATATTGCTCTTGGTTTAGCATGGGTCCACACCCAGAATTTCAGAACAGATCTTCATTTCTAATATAGTACTATAGAGAAGAGTTTTAACTCATAGTAAGAGAACTCAGAAAGACATTCGCAGTGAAACTGCTCTTTGTGAAATAAAACAAATAAAAACCAGGCATAGAGGAAACAAAATTGTAATTTTAAAAATGAAACCTGCAGCTTCAGGATATAAGCTGTTTAATTTTTCCTCTTCTTCCAGAACACAAAAAACCTGGACAATTTCCTTCACCTGCAAATGAATTTGGTTATTCCCTTTTTACTTGCAAATTGTCCTTTTTCATCTGTGAATAGACTACCATTTCACTTGTAAATTAGGTTTTCCCCTATGACTAGGCCGTTAGCTTACTATAGATAGACCATCCTTTCCCCAGACCAAGACCACAACTATAGATTATCAAATTCCTTTTTGTTTTTTGTTTTTTTTTTTTTGGTTTTGAGACAAGGTCTCTCTATATAGTTAAGGCTATCCTTCAGTTCACTACGCGGCCCAGGATGGCCTTGAATTCTTGTGATCACACTCAGTCTCTTGAGTGTGGGGATTATAGGCCTCTGCCACCAAGCCAGGCAAATTCCACAGATTTTCACCACGGAAACCACATAAATATTCCCAGTTCCAAACTTAAGCGTGTCTCATTTCTCTCCATACACCACTCTAGTGTGCTAAAATTTCTGCTTATTGAACCTTTCCTGTGCCTCTTAGTGATGCATTCTGAAAATTCTTTTTCTGCAATGGAAGTCAGATAACCTGCAAACTTCTGCAAAAGAGTGAGTTAAGTTTCTTATTTCAGCTGCAGGGACCTTCTCAGATCCACTCTGGGACATAAGGAACTAAGAAGCTACCAATTAAGCCTCTGTCTCTAAATTGTTAGCCCAGATAATTTACAATCACTGACCATGAGAGAGCATGGTCCTACTCCCTGATGCCACAGGGTTTCTGGTCTAGTCCTTTTCTAGTTGCTCATTTGTTCGCACAACAAATATGTACTGACTTCTGATATATGCCTGGAACTTTTTTTAGGTTATGTCTGTTCTTTGCTTTTGAATAGCTCTTCATTCTGCACTGGAAATAAATTATCACCACTTCAACAAAGTGAACAGAAATCTACTCAGAATTTTATTTTCTCCTTTTAGTTCTTACGTTCCAAACCTGGGCTTTACAACCTTCTCCAGGTTATGTTATATAGTTCTCAGTATTTAAAAATTGCATGCTAAGGAGCCGCTTTTTGATAATATTCAGAACGTTTGTGGTAAAGAGCGACCATATTCCTTTTCTCCCTGGCATCCCTTCAAATCATTCATACAAGAGATTAGCTAAAGAGAAGCACTAGGTCACTCACAATGGTTGTCGCAGATCCCCAAAATATGCAGTACTTATTATCTCACTCTTTCATATTTTTCAGTTTAATATCCAGGATAATGTATTTCATTCACATTGTATTTATCTAACCATTTCAATGAATGGAGCACTGTTTTAAATCTTTGAAACAGATGGAGCTATAACTGAAACTGTTCGAATCACTAACTCATTCATTGATTATTATCTCCTGGATACCATGATAAGTGATAGGATATAGTGATGGGCAAAAGCAGGCATGGACCATCCTCTCATGGAACTCACTATTGAAGAAGGCAGTGTGTGTTGTATTTATTGCTGGATATCACATTGCACATGTTAGGTACCCAGTAAGCATTCATTGAATGAGTGAAAGGTATGTGACCTAATAAGTATACGTACTGTATATAAATAGTAAGAGGTGCATGAATTGGGGAAAAAAAGGACACCTGAGAGAATAATAGGGTAGAATAAAAAGGGAAGGCCTGTCTAGGGAAATGACATGCCAAGACCCAAAGGGTGAAGAACCATGCCATGCCAAAGCTACAGATACAAGCATTCTAAGAAAAGGAGCAGTATGGGTAAAGCGTGTCTCAGGAGAAGGAAGACTATGGGTAAAGAATCTGAGGTAAGTAAGAGCTTGACATGTTTCACTGAGCTGGGGAAAAGTGGACTGTGATGAAAGGACTCATGAGACAAAGTATAAGTAGACAATCTTGTAGGACAATATAGGGTTGGGGTTTTATTCTGAGTGCAATAAGAAATCATTTAATGGCTTTAAGCAGGGGAATTATGTAATATAGTTTCTACTACTCAAACAATCACAATGTCTCTATGGGTAATGCAATTGTTGGGATGGGAATGAACAAAGTCTCTAGTTAAGAGTAATTATAATCCATGGGAGACAAAGCAGCTCCGGCAAAAATTAGTAGATTCAAGATATACTGTACTTTGGAAATAGAACTGACACACTTTTTGATAGATTGGATACGGGATGAGAAAAGAAACAAGTATGACTTTCAGGTTTTTAGCTTAAACAAGTTGATGGGAGGAGGTGCCATTTTCTAAAATGAGGGAAATTATGTGAGAGGAAGAGTTCTGGGGTATGCCACCGTTTATTTTTAACATACTTTATTTGAAGTTTCTATGAGGTGTGTATCTGGAGCTTTCAAATGAGGAAGACAGGACAAGAAAGTTTGTGATAAGAGACTTATATATGATATAAAACTTAAATGTTCAAAGAGAAATGCTATGCCTAGGTGGATTATTTAGAGTCATTTCCAGAAAAAAAGAAAAAGAAATCCCTGGCACTTGAACCAGAGGAAATATGATGAGGGAGAACAAAAGGAATGAACTAGCAACTGTGGAGGAGAAAATTTTAAGGCATGTTCAGAAACTAAAAGAGTTCATATTTGGTGGAATATAGTGTGTGTTTGGAATGCTGAGTCTAGAGAGATGGCTGAAGGCTTTAAGCACTTTAGCTAAGCAATTTGTATTGCATTTGGTGACCAACTATAAGCACTAGCAAGTCGTTGAGCTGAGGCACCATTAAAAAAAAACTGTTAAAAACAATTTAGTGATATTGAATAAGGAAAATTGAGGAATAAGAATAGGATAAAAGGAAGCCAGTTCAAAGTCTATTTCAAGTAACAAGGCATGAAGTTGGAGGGTCTACATTCTGACCAAGGAAGCAGAGTTAAAAGGCAAATGCGAGGAACATCTAAAAGGAGAATTATGATCATGCTAACATAACAGGAAAGCCAGGGGAAGGCACCTACTTTTTTCTTCCCAGTATCTTTGCCTCCATACCAGATCATGAACTCTTGTAAGGCTGGGAGACACTTTTTAATCTCTCTACAGTGGTATTTACTACCTCATACTGGTGCATTTCAGGGTAAATAGGTAACAAAGCAATAGCTATGGTACTGAAGTAAACTACACAGATAACTGTTGCTAGAAAAAGGAATGTGGGGTCAAAACCATTAGCTGATAGAACATGAACATGGAGGGGGTTGACAATAAGCACTAGTAAAGATGAATTATATTTTTGCATGTTGTTCTTTTTAAAGCTTATCATACAGGCTGAACCTTCAATGCTCTGAAACTTTTTCTTCATCACACTCCCATTCATATTACTGTATTCATATCTGTGCAAAGTCCTACACCTACCAGCCTCTATCTGATGCACAAGTACCACTGAGAGTATGGCTGAATATGCTATCCTTCCCTTGGTAATATTCATAAACTGAGATAACTAAGTTCTTTGACTATCATGTCTAACATGGAAGTTATCTTTTGGCAAGGTGGATTTGGGGTATGATAGATTGGTAGGGCCTGGGGAAATCTTTAAAGCATTCAAAGGGTAAAGCCTGCCTCTAGCTGCTCCTTATTTCCTATAGTCTTATCATAGATGGCATTTCCTTTAAAAGGAGACAAAAGATGTTCGAAAAAGTCTACTTAAGGAACTCTGCAGAGGAGAAACACAATGAATAACCAAAGCATTTTCTCTAGTTAATCTTTTTTGCCATATCTTGAGTCATACCTTCCTTTTATTATTTATCTTCTACTTATATTTCACTGTTGGTATATATTTTATGTGTTCCTTGTTCAATGTCATTTGAAGAGTACCTCTGAATACTTTGGAGAGTATTACTATATAAATACAATAAAGCAGTGAATAAAATGTCTTTTATAAAAGTGTGAGTTTGATTAATTCTAATAAGATATATACTCCACTCAGAGTAGCCTAGATTAGGCAGGCATATTCTAAGGGACAGAAGACAGTCCAAAATACCCCTCTACTGAAATTCCACAATTTAGTGATATATTTTAAAATTTTGAGACTTGAAGGTTTTTAAGAATCTCTCTCTCTCTCTCTCTCTCTCTCTCTCTCTCTCTCTCTCTCTCTCTCTCTGAGGCAGTATCTCACAACGTAGTGCAGGCTGGCCTCAAACTCACAACTATATTCCTGCCTCAGCCTCCTGAGAACCAAGATTACATTGTGCCTCACCATGCCCAGCAACAACTTCTTATTAAAATCTAAATATCACAGAAGGTGGGTAGGTGGGTTTCGATTTAACATTACTGTATTTTACATTAACCTACCATTCTTATCAAACATGTTTTTCACATTCTAGGTTTTTCCATGCCTTTGCTTATGCCATTTTTCTCAAGGTAATGTCAAGATTATCATAAATTATAAAGAGAATATTATTTTATAATTTCATAAGTCTCATACCCAAATCCAAAGCCTACTTGTCATTTTAAAAAATAATTTATTTTTCCAATGTAAGAAGAATAACAAATGTATTGTAGAAAATTTGAAAAAGGAAGAAAGGAAGAAGAAAAATATCAACCAGAGTTCTGCCACCTAAGGAATGACCATAATCATAATGCTTATTCTTTAAATCTTAGAGAGTAGGTCCCATTTCTGATGTGATGCCTTTCTCAGATTTCCTCTCCTAGACTCACTACGTCATGTTCATACCACTCACTTTTATATATAGTCACTTAATTTGGAATGTCTTATACTTCCAACCAGACTATTAAAACTGTCACAAGCTGAAACCATGAGTTATATTTCTTAATTTATTCCCAAATACCAGGTACACTGTACCCAATATTTGTTCACTGATGAAATCTAAGTGGATATGAATCACTTCAGAAAGATATGAAACAGGACAAGCATCTAAGTCATGAAAATTAAAGTGTTCTGGTCACTTAGCTTAGTGACTATTGGTTTTCTGTCCTGGACTCTTGAAAGTTTAAGTGGCATCTTTCTCCATACCAAAACTTAGGAAGAAGCAGACTGATTAAGAGCCAGGATTAACTCAGATTCTCTATATAAGGAATAAAGGATGGGGGGAGAGAGACATAGACATAGAAAGAGGACAAAGGAGGGAGTAGAGGAGAATAAGAGAAGAAAAGATTTTAAAAAAGGAGAAGGGAGGGGAAAGAGAATAGAGAACAGTAGAAAAGTGCATATATACCACATAGGCTGAAAAGAGAAGTGAAGGATTATTTATATAGTATGCTCAGTCCAGTATGTGATTTGCCTCCAGCACTGTGTACAGGATCCCATCCACTTGTTCTGAGTCATACCCGATCTCACGAAGCTCCAAGTGAGGGAGGACAGAAGTAAGGAGACAGCTGACATGGATACGCAGCCGCGTAAGCTTTGCCAAAGCCCTGTATGATGGAGTGAGGGGGCAGGAGAAGAGATGACATGAAGTCATTAGCCAACAAAATAAAATGAAGCTCCTTCAAAATGGGCCTTAATTTTCTCAAAAATTAAGTTTCCATTATCTGGAAAAAAAGAAGAAAGCACAATGCCACCAAGCACAGGGCTACTGGCTGCATCTTTCTAAGTACTTACTCAGTCTTGGTGGCCTATGAATTAAGGCTTCCTTACTGTGTATAAACAGTAGCTGGGGGGGGGGGTCCTTAAGGGATGCTTCCCATTAGCACTCACAAGCTGATAACTAAACCCTAGTAATTAACCTTTCTAGGTCATCTCCTTCTGGGGTCTGGCAGGAGACCTGAGCCTTCTGTAGTACTTCCAGGAGTGTCTGTGTTTCCTTCAATTTCTCTTTTAATTCTTGCTTTTCTTCTTTGGTTCTTTCTAGCTCAGCTTTCAGAATCTGGAATTCAGCTTGGCGATAACCCATATGTTTCTTGCTCCAGTACAAGCCCTCTGTTTCTTGGGTATTGTAGGTTACCAATTCATGTTGAACCTTCTTGAATTCAGAATGCCAGTGATTCTTCTCCTGTTCTAGCTCTTCCACCTGCAGTTTAAGAAACAGAAATTCAGTGGCTCTATATACTACTGAAAGGGGAAGAGAGTGCCAAATTTACCTAATTATGCTGTGATTCCATTATGCATATTTATATGTTTCTACTTATGGAAATCCCTGTTCAGTCACATATGGGAAGGAAGCCCATAAGAATTTCCTCTGTCTGAGACATACCGCAGAATGGTTTAAAGACATACCTGTATTTTGTTTAAAGACCTCAAAACATAGAATCATCAGAGCACCAACACCCTAGTCCTTTGATTATAAAAATCTCTTATTCCTAGTGATAATATGTTGCCCAAACCTTTTGCTGGAACAAATTCTTTTCAGCCAAAACACGTTCCAATTTTTCTGTAGTTCTCTTCAATTCTTCTAGCTCACTTTGGTTATTCATCTTTTGTGTATTATGACATCCAGCTACCTTGTAGCTTCTTTGTTTCTCTCCAATGGCTACAGCAGAAATTGTAGAAGAGGCCACAGAATAAGGCACTGGGTTCCAAGATTCAACTGCTTTTCTTTTTTCAGCAAACTCCTCTCTGTTAAAAGGGATTAGTTGAATGGGAGCTCCAGAATCTCTAATGCCTTTTGCAACACCAACAACAGCTACAAATGGTCCCTTGTTCACATCTTCTTTGTTTATACATGTGCTACTTCTGTTAGATTCTTCAGCTACCAATCTTGGCATCTGATCTTCTAATTCTTCAGAAAGATGGGACTCCTGGTGTTGGTCTTGGGCCCCTGGATATACAACTGAAACTTCTCTATTCTGTCCTGAATCCTTGCTTGCTTCTGGGTATTCTGGGAAAAGATATGGTGGTGTACTTCTCTCAGCACTGGATTTATCATTGCTATTCTCCCCTTCTGGGCAGGGAACAACTGTCTCTACTCTCCTGCAAGAGCTATGCATAGAATAATCTATAGGAGATGCAGTCATCTCATTCTGGATCTTTCTTCGTTTTTCCACAGGTTCTTCACCAAGTATCCATTTGCACTTACTGCAAGAGGAAATTAAACTGTAAGTTGTGACAAGTACGTTATCACCTCACCTCAAATTTTCTACATTAAAAGTATCCCTAGGTGCTAGGCTGTGCCTGTAATCCCAGCACTTGGGAGGCTGAGACAGGAGAATTATCATGAGTCTGAGGCCAGGCTGAACTACTTAAAAGAGATCCTGTCTCAAAAACAAAACAGAAAGACACCTCCCAAAAAATATCTCTAGATATTACTCACAGATTATTTAAAGTTACGAATATAACTGCTATGGTTTAGATATAGTTTGTGTTCCAAGGATTTATATGTTGGAAGCTATATTCTTAGGATGGCAATGTTAAAAGATGGTATGGAACCTTTAAGAGGAGTAGCCTAGTGGAAGTTATTACACCACTGAGATTACTGTCCTCTCATGAGAATAAGGTGTTATAAAAGAGGCCCTGACTCCTGAGCCATGCTCTTGGCTTCCTGTCTGGCAACATGATATTTTACCTCTCATACATACTCCAATCATCATGATCCTATCCACTATAGGGCCTTTATCACAGCCAAACTAATACCAGTGCCATGTCTTTGAATCTCCAGAACAGTGAGCTAAAAAAGCCTCTTTTATTTATAAGGTTGCACATTTTCATATATTTCATTATAGTAAACAAAAATAGACTAATATACATCTATTTGCCAAGTCACAACCCTTTCATTCATGTAGCTGGCTAAAGTAGCAAACTGTTGTTCAGGAAGTCAATTTGAAAGTTTTTAAAGGTCAGTATCTAGATACAACAGGACTAGGCTGACTTTGGTTAAAATTCTAAAAGTAAGTAACTAGGCATGGTGGTGCATACCTATAATCCCAGCATTTGAGAGGCTGAGGCAGAAGCATCACTGTGAATGTGAGGTCAGCCTCGGATAGTGAGTTCAAAGCCAGTTTAGACTACATAGAAAGACTCTGTCTCAAAAAAAAATAATAAAACAAAACAAAACAAAAAAGGCACTCAGTGAAATTCTAAAAGTATATTTGAAAACAGCTTAATTTGGGAAGTTTCTTAAATGCAAGTAAAGATAGATAAATAAAATGAAACAAAACAAACAACAAGGTTTTATATATATATATATATATATATATATATATATATATATACCCAATATCCCTTAACACAAGAAGAGAATAAAAAGATCATAAAAAGCCTTATGGTGTATGCAGAGAATAAAGCCAGCTTGTTAATTTAAAGTGTCACAAAACCCTTCCATTATAAAAGGCTTATGCACAGTTTTATATTGCAGTACAAACAGTACAATTCATCTGCCAGTCAGCTGGATTACGGCTATTGCCCATTATTCACTTGTAAAAGTTAATTAAAACACAAGGCCCCAGTCACAAACAACGAAAGTAAATCAGACAATTCAAATCATTTTCTCATTATAACAAAGAACTCTCCTTTGTCAAGCATAGACAGACATTCCTTCAGTTCTTCAGAGAAGCCCGACAGACCACAGATCACCTTCCATGCCTGGCTACTATAAACACTAACGGTTAAAAGAACTAACAAAACAATTGGGAAATCTACAGGCAATTTCATATCGTGTACCATCAGGATGGGAACTTTATTGTTATTCTTTAAGTATTCTGCCCTTTCTCTCAGTAAAACCAAGAAATTTCAAGATAAAAATCAACTTTGAACTTGTAACGAGAATCAGGCATGTTATTAGTTACCTCGTAGTACCTAAAGGTTGCCTATATCTCTCTGTAACTTTATAAATATTCACAACATCTCAAACCTTAGCTACTTACAATACTCTATAGGAATAAGACTGGCCTGCATAGACCAGCCTGAACTGCATAGTGAAACCTTGTCTCAAAAAGACAAAAAACAAAACAAAACATAACAGTTCCACATTTCAATAGATTCTACTGTGATAGCCTTATAGGAAAATCTAAAGGATTTAGCGGATGTGTGAAAACAAATATATCCCTCTTATATACACATAATGGGCACTACAGATGGTTTACTTTGCGGTAGTATTGAAGAAGATAGTAAAATAATTAAGTTGGCAAGAAAGAAGGAAAGGTATATATAATACTAGAGAGGAACAACAAACTTTTATGAAAGGCATTCAAATCATATTATTTGCTTTATAGTTATTTTCCCACTTTTAAGGGTTCTGTCCTTAACAATCTTCTCTGTAGGCCATATTCTTTCCTTTGAGTAATTATACATCACCTCTTGGCTACCTCTGGGCAGTAATTCCCACATTCTCCCAAGTTCTATTGAATTTCTAACAGCTATATAACACATTTCTTGGAGGATTCACTGGTATCTCAAACTTTACTTTCAAACCCGCTCCTTCTCCTATTTATGTTAACACCACAAACTGTGAGGATTTTTTGCTTCATGCATGACTTGCACATTGTCAATACTCCAGCTCAATTTCTCATTTCCTCTCCAGGACTATTACAGTGACTTTGTCTGGTTTCTGGTCTCCCCTTCTTTCATCTCCAAACGTCTGATTATGCTACTCCTCTATTTAGAACTTTATTTGTTACTTCTTACAGTGTGAGGATTTTTTGCTTCATGCATGACTTGCACATTGTCAATACTCCAGCTCAATTTCTCATTTCCTCTCCAGGACTATTACAGTGACTTTGTCTGGTTTCTGGTCTCCCCTTCTTTCATCTCCAAACGTCTGATTATGCTACTCCTCTATTTAGAACTTTATTTGTTACTTCTTACAGCATGAAAAGTCAAATGTGTTAGACTGGTATTCAAGCCATTCTACATCAAAACACAGGAAACACTATTGAATACTTACTATGCACCAATGTGGTAAGTACTTAATGTATATTAGCTTATCTAATTCTACCAATAAACTCAAGATAAGGCAATTCAATTCTTTTAAAAAGATACTAAGGTTAAGTAACTTTTTAAAGATAGTACACAATAGAGCTGAGACATAACCCTGACTTTATATTCCATTACTCTCTTTACAAAGTGAATGCTCCATTATTTCTCACACTGTTCTTTGTGATTAAAATGCCCTTCTCCCTAACATTGCACATCTAAATCAAACTCAAATGTTACTTCTGAATTTCTGTAACACTTGTCAGCCCTCTCTTTTAACCTTTATCACTGTCTGTCTTGTGAGTGTGTATGCATATGTGTGTATCATGTAGGTACCTTACTAAGGTTCAAAAGTATAACCTCAACATAAGAGAGCTTAATTCTGGTAAATCAAGATGAGGGAATGAAACTTTCAAATAAATAACAAGCAAAAAGAAGTACTGTGTTAATGTTGGCATAAGGCTATTTTCCCAGTTACTCTGCAGGTTAAAGGAGGAGGATAGCAAGTTTGAGGCTAGACAGGACAACTTACCAAGGTCTTGAGTCAAAATAAATACACTTTTAAAAAGGGCTGGCCATGTAGTACAAAGGTGAAGCACTGGCCTAGCACGCACAAGACCCTCGGTACAATCCCCAGTACCACACACACACACACACACACACACACACACACACACACACAATTATGTAAATGAAAGAATAAATGGATTTTATTTATTGGTTGTATATTTCTCCAAAAAGTCTAACTCTTCCCTTTGGAAATTGATTCTCATACTAGACCTGCATTCATTTAGAGTAAAAATTAAGGGTTTTATATAGTAGGAATGCTTCTCAAACTATATACTTTTTTCTTCTTTTTGTCATAATTCTGTGTAGTTATGAATTTTATAGATTTTTAGTTATTCTGTCTTTTAAGTATTTCTTATTTTCTGATAAAAATATATATCTACTGTGCTTCTGCCCTTCAAAGTGCTTTCTGAACATTTCTATATTTGACCACTCTCATTTTAGTACTTCACTAAGACAGAGAACATTATATGTAAATTACGATATTTTATTTTTTATGCAGTCATTTCCATGTTTCCCATGTTTAGGGCACTATGATAGGCAAGAATAAGGACCAAAATATACGGTTCCTTTAATGGTGTATACGTTCTCCTTCCAGATGAAATACTTCTAAACATCTTCAGTGAAATATAAATGCAATAAATTCACATGAGTGTACAATTTAATTGCTTTACTATACTCACAGTTATATGACATCATCATAATCTAAGTTTAGAAAATGTATATCATCCTATGAAACCTTCTACCACTCTCCATACCTTCGCCTACCACCAGGTTAATCACTCGTCTAATTTCTGATATATTTCAAATAGGCATTTCAAATGGAATGATAAAAATATATTGTATTTTATGATACATGCTGGCCTTAGTCTTAGCTCAAGTGATCTTTACCTCAGTCAGGTATGCACCAGTATAGTTGGCTTTTTGTGGTCTTGTTTTAAACATTCATTTATATTGTAACATTTCACTGCTGCCATGATATTGATATGGTTTGAATGTGTTCCTCAAAGATTCATATGATGAAATTTAATCTTCATCATGCGATACTAAAAGAGTGACAACTAAATTCAACTATGGTGTTTATTATTATTATTATTCTTTTGTTTTGTTTTGCTTTGCTTTTTGAGACAAGGTTTTGCTATGTAGCTCATTTTAGTCTTTAACTTGCCATGTAGCCCAGTTTGGCCTCCAATTTGTAGTGATCTGTCTAGCTCAGCCTCCCAAATGATGGGATTACACTTATGTGCTACCACACTAGATCAACCATGGTGTTTGGAAGTGTGAATCTTTAGGAGGTGATCAGGATTAAATAAGGTCTTCAGGGAAGAGCCCTGATGATTAAATACTGATGGTTACATGGGGCAGGGGGAGAGACAGAGAGAAAGAGGGAGACAGTGAGAGAAAATACAGATATAGACATACATGCACACTCCCTGTCTCTTACCATGTGATACGCTGCACCACCTCAGGAGTGTCAGAAAAAAAGGACTTTAAGTTTTCTGAGACAAGGCCTTGCTATGTAGATCAGGATGGTCCTAAACTCACTATGTAGCCCTTGTTGGCCTCGAACTTGCACCAATCCTGCCTCTATCTTTAGAATG